GGTGGTTAATAAGTGAGGAGGGAGAATCAGCTCCAGGTGGGCATTTTGCCCCTCCTTTCTCTATTTTGTCTCTTAGACTGTGATGAACATCATCCCTTGGAAGTGCCCATAGCTCCCTACTAGCTATCAAGGAGCCTGTACAGCCATGGAAGCCTAGTGTTAGCTAGCTAGGGAACAAGTTTCCCATTCCTCATGTTGTTTCTGTCTCTGAACTGCAGGACTTACCTTTTGGAGCTTCTTCTGCCATGGCCCAAACTGTATTTCCAGCATTCTGTTTCTTGGTTAAGCCAATCACCACTTGCTTCCCAGGCCCATTTGCACAAAAAATGGATTAGCCACAGAAATATGCAATGCCAGACACCAATGCAGACTCCAAGTCAAACTGAAATCCAGTTCCTAGCCTGGAACTGCTCAAAAGCAGTTTATTACTCTCTGCACCCTCCACCACTGACCTACAGTCATGTCTTAAGACACGTTCTCTGTCCCACAGCAGCTTTCTGACCTCCCTGGACCCCACACCTACCTCAGGAGCGATATAGTCAGGAGTCCCACAGAAAGTACTTGTCTTCGCATCTCCAAACATGTTCTCCTTGCACATCCCAAAGTCAGCAATTTTGATGTGACCCTCATTGTCCAAGAGGACATTGTCTAGCTTCAAGTCTCTGTGGAGGAAGAGAAGGAAACCCCTCCTGTTACAGAACCACACAAGTTATTTTAGCAGGTTACACTTATTAAATTGCTATCTGCCTCTGTGTAGTGCCCACACGTTGCAATTACAAAGGAAGGCTGAGGGCCAAATGAGGAACTGCTCTCTTGGATTTCAATATCCCTCTTCCTCACTCCTCCTGTCCCAGCACTGATTCATTTGCTGGAGAAGACTTTACCCAAGACATCTTCTAAAAGCTGCCTCCTTTGAGGATGCACAATAGTGGAGCTAAAAAGAGCTTTTCGACAGCTGGTGCTTCTGTCCTAACACAGCCTGGAGAAAGTGAGCAAGAAGGGACTGGCTAACGCTCATTTTCTCCTTCCCTGGGAGTCTCAGTACTGTCTCTGAAGCTGCTGCCAGCTCTCCATTCTGTTGCAAGCTCTACAAATGTTGGAAGAGGTAAGGACCCAGAAGCCCTGCATGGCTTGCAGAGGGTCAGAGTAATCCCAGACATCAGCAGAACACCCGCCACCTTTTCACTGCTGGCCTGCACTATCTGAGCCCCATGGATTTACAAAACCCTTCACACATATCTGCCAAGCTGTTGTCAGAGGTTTCAGGCCCTGAGCTACTGTGGGAAGCAAAGAGCCCGGAGAGAAAAAGAAGTGATGCACAGAGAAGGAAATAAAAGCAATTGAGCAGATGAATCATGGCCATTGACAGAGAACAAAGAAGTCCTGATGTGGGAACAAGCATGGAGAGAAAAGCATGGAAAGAAAGAAAGAAAAAGACAGAAAGAAAAGGCGGCTGGCATGGCTTCTATGTTAAATTTTTATATCTTACCTAAGAGGTTTTGCTTGTCATTGAAATAATGACTGAGGGAGATGTTTGGATCAGTGATGTTGCACTTCATCTGGGATGTAGGTAGAATTTGGGTTACCTGGTCTCAGAGCACCCACGTTCCTGCACTGCCTATCCTGTGATATCAATCACTGCTCCTTCTCAGGGCTCCCAAAACACTCAGACACAACATTTGCTTATGCACACAGCTGAGAATACGATTGGTATTTTCCAACCTCTGCTGATTCACAGCCTAGACACAGTCCTAACCACAAGGCTGCTATATGGCTACCCGCCTGGTGACAACTGTTTTACAACATGTTTTTTTTCAGAAATGGCTTTGACTCCCTCGAAGAAGGTAATCGCTAATGCATAATGTTCCTGAGATGATCGCCTACAATTGCAGGGAAGATGGCTGCTCAGCCTCCCTCTGTGCAAAGATCCTTGTTTTGCTTCGGCCAGGTCCCAGTCAGCGTGGAGGACCTCGTAGTGTCTACACACTAAACTGTTGTCATGGGGCAATCATTCGTTGCTGCTAGAATATGGCCCAAGAAGAAGTGGGAGTCATCAATCAAAAAGAAATATAGAGACAACCGAGACGTTTGCCTTCCAAGTGTCAGACACTCATGTTGTCACAATTTCCAGCTGGAATGACTTATTTTAATTACACCATTGGGATCAATCTCTGGCTGCCAGCACTGCTTTTACTCATCTGGTAGATCGAAGCAAAACAAAAACCCTATCACCTACGGTTTGCTTTCATTATTTTGATGAGTCTCAAACTCATTGAATCCAGGGATTGGAGTTTCTGCCAAAAGAGCCTTGGCTCATTCATTAAAATTTAAGCCAACAATTCCAAACGTGGGTACATGAGACATAACAGCTGGAATCATTATTCTTACTACATTGCAAGTGATGTAGTTTCAAGAATGATTTCTATTCACTGTTCTAAGTGCTTAGTTAGCTCTGATTGAGATACTGATGGCTGTGTGTTCTCAACTGACCTCATTGTCATCGTCTTCAGTGAAAAAAGGAAAAAGGAGTAGGACTCGTGAAATCTTTTCTCTCAAAGCTTGATACCCAAAACAATGCTGCACCAGCTCCTGGGAATGAGCTATTTCTTCCTATCACCATGCTACCCAGTGTCTAGCTATCCCAATTTGCCCATGTTTCCCAAGGTTCCAGACTCTAAACATCCCTCTCCTTTCATAAGGAAACGGATCCCAAAGCCTGACTCACTACTGGTGAAGCAATTCCAAATAAAACTGTGAATTATAAACAAAATGTCAGCATTAACAGTCCTGCCACAAACTTACAATGTCCTGCAGATATTTTTAATCAAATTTTTGGAGAAGTCTGATTAAAAATGACAAACATGGCTAAGTGATTCAGGCACTTTCAGAAAATGTTTCCTGTCAGTCATCCGGAAAAATAATTAGAGCCAGAAACTTGCTGAGACCCCAGAGATCATCTTAGCTTAATGTCATTGATATTGATCTCATATTTACGCAATCACTATCGTTGGTCAATAAAGACTATAAATGGCTCCCACATGAGTACTAATAATGAATAATAAGGCCAGTTTATATGAGTCAAAGCTTGCATTTTAATGGGAGAGTGTGTTGTAAACAAGCCATTCGCTTTTAGCATTTGTTCTAATGATCACACTACATGACAAACATTGAAATAAGCTCATTTTGGTTTCAACAAACATCGTTGTTTTAGTGAGCTTTCTCATTTGTTTGTGACAAGCTATTTGCTTCCTGCTTTTACAGAATGCTGCAATGTAGCAACTAACTTTTGCCATGAAGATAAGCTGGACTGGAACTCCCCAGAAATTCGGTTCCTCCTTTCAGCCATGGGAAAGCAGACTGTGGCCTGATCTCTGCAGCCCTTCTTGCTCCCGTCTTGTCTCTGTCCTTTTATATAGGTCTGAAGCACAACACTTGTGCATTAGATCAAAGCATCCATGCAAAACTTTGAAGCCCCTAGGGAACTCAAGCAGAAGCTGGAGCGGACAATTTTGCAGTAGAGGACTTCTCCTCCTCAGGATTTGATATATTGATGCATTGTGGACCAAGTTCATACCAGTAACTTTGGGAGAGGACTCTCTTGTTTGGGTGCAGCTGCCTGCAGTGTCCCACCTAGTTCCCACCAGCTCCTTGTAGAGCCTGCTGGTAAAAACGGGCACTTCTCACCCACACTTTAACACAGGTTTGATGAGCCTAAAAAAGCCCACTCCTCCGTTCACTACAAGAAGAGCTTGGGTGGCTAGCTTAGATTCATGATGGTAGGTGAGATGAATCCCATCTCCCCATGGAAATGTGCACAGCATACCTGTTAATAACTCAAAAATTAAGGTATGTCACTGTCTCCATGCTGCTATTACTTGAGCTGTGCTTGTCCCACTGTCCCAGGGTAACCAGCACAGCAGATATACCATATTTCTCATGGCTAGCTTAACCTTAAACACCTTCATACAGAGGGTAGTCATCAATGACTCAATGTCCAAATGGAGATGGGTGATGAGTGGTGTCCCTCAGGGGTCCATACTGAGACCAGTATAGTTTAATATCTTCATCAGTGACACAGACTGTGGGATCGAGTGCACCCTCAGCAGGTTTGCAGATGATACCAAGCTGAGTGGAGCGGTTGACACACCTGAGGGACAGGATGCCATCCAGAGGGACCTGGACAAACTCGAGGAATGGGCCCATGTGAACCTCCTGAGGTTCCACAAGGCAGTGGAACTGCACCTGGGTCAGGGCAACCCCCGGTATCAGCACAGGCTGGGGGATGAAGGGATGGAGAGCAGCCCCATGGAGAAGAACTTGGGGGTACTGGGGGATGAAAAGCTGGACATGAGCCGGCCATGTGCGCTCACAGCCCAGAAGCCAACCATGTCCTGGGCTGCACCCAAAGCCGCGTGGCCAGCAGGGCGAGGGAGGGGGTTCTGCCCCTCTGCCCCGCTCTGGGGAGACCCCCCTGCAGTGCTGCGTCCAGCTCCGGAGCCCTCGGCACAGGAGAGACACGGACCTGCTGGAGCGGGGCTAGAGGAGGCCTCAGCGATGCTCCGAGGGCTGGAACAGCTCTGCTGGGAGGACAGGCTGGGGGAGCTGGGGGGGCGCAGGC